TGAATAAAGACATGTATGGATATATCCAGCTCGGCCAATACTTGCAATAGGATAAGCTCACATAGTAAAATAAGCCACACAAAAGAATTTAGACAACAGCTTAGATAGCTCAGCTGGTAGAGCGGAGGACTGTAGATGTTCAATGACTGAAATCCTTTGGTCGCTGGTTCAACTCCAGCTCGAAGGAAGGTTTTTTTCTTGTTGCTCAGTCCACAGCATACAGGCAACTTCTATAAAAACTATAAACACCCTGATTTCTCCTGTGAATGGTTTCATTGTAACAACTAAAACACTGTGTGAGCTCAGTGGTTCTCAAAGAGTCAGTGTCAGAGGTCAGCACCAACAACATCAAAACATTATTCCGATGAGGATGGATTTTATTAAACTGTAACTGTAACTGTAACTGAGCTGAACTGTTCCACTGCTAAACTGAATCAGCTCTCAGTCGTTTTTTTTAATTACCAGATCGAAATATGTAGTGACTGGAGACAGTGAGATGAGGTGACCGAGTGCTTAAGGTGATGGACTGCTAATCCATTGTGCTCTGCACGCGTGGGTTCAAATCCCACCCTTGTCGGAGAGATGATTTGGTAATGTGAGTGACCTCTGACACTTACAGGTAAAAGCCAGTAAATTAGAATATTTTGAAAAACTTGATTTATTTCAGTTATTGTATTCAAAAGTTGTAACTTGTATATTATATTTATTCATTGCACACAGACTGATGCATTCAAATGTTTATTTCATTTAATTTTGATGATTTGAAGTGGCAACAAATGAAAATCCCAAATTCCGTGTGTCACAAAATTAGAATATTACTTAAGGCTAATACAAAAAAGGGATTTTTTAGAAATGAAAAGTATGAAAATGAAAAATATGAGCATGTACAATACTCAATACTTGGTTGGAGCTCCTTTTGCCTCAATTACTGCATTAATGCGGCCTGGCATGGAGTCGATGAGTTTCTGGCACTGCTCAGGTGTTATGAGAGCCCAGGTTGCTCTGATAGAGGCCTTCAACTCTTCTGCGTTTTTGGGTCTGGCATTCTGCATCTTCCTTTTCACAATACCCCACAGATTTTATATGGGGCTAAGGTCAGGGGAGTTGGCTGGCCAATTTAGAACAGAAATACCATGGTCCGTAAACCAGGCACGGGTAGATTTTGCGCTGTTTGCAGGCGCCAAGTCCTGTTGGAACCTGAAATCTCCATCTCCATAGAGCAGGTCAGCAGCAGGAAGCATGAAGCGCTCTAAAACTTGCTGGTAGACGGCTGCATTGACCCTGGATCTCAGGAAACAGAGTCGACCGACACCAGCAGTTGACATGGCACCCAAACCATCACTGATGGTGGAAACTTCACACTAGACTTCAGGCAACGTGGATCCTGTGCCTCTCCTGTCTTCCTCCAGACTCTGGGACCTCGATTTCCAAAGGAAATGCAAAATTTGCTTTCGTCAGAAAACATGACTTTGGACCACTCAGCAGCAGTCCAGCTCTTTTTTTCCTTAGCCCAGGTGAGACGCTTTTCGCGCTGTTTCTTGGTCAACAGTGGCTTGACACGAGGTATGCGGCAGTTGAAACCCATGTCTTTCAAGCGTCTCTTGGTGGTGGATCTTGAAGCACTGACTCCAGCAGCTGTCCACTCCTTGTGAATCTCCCCCACATTTTTGAATGGGTTTTTTTTCACAATCTTGACTAGGGCTCGGGGATCCCTATCGCTTGTACACTTTTTCTGACCACAGTTTTTCCTTCCC